AAAATGTAAACAAGGGTTTTAGGACGGTCCCCATTTAGAATCTTGGGTTTGGGGTGCAGGGGTAGTCGTGAGAGCACTCGGATTTTGTGGCCTAGATTTCCTATCAGCTTCCAAAGTCCGATCCAGATATGGGGACCCTCAAGCTCCAAGTAATCTAAATATTGCATGCTGCAAGTCCTAGCAGACTAGAAGTTCAAGCGCACAAGCCCGCAGTCCTGATTGGTCCAATCTGACTTGTGCGCTTTGCGACCAGGAAGCGTATCGGAGCCGACCTGGACACATGTCCGAGCAAATTTCATTGACTGCCACATGGGTGCCGTGATGTGCCGTGTCGACCAACGGTTACTTCCTCCTGCGGTATGAGTCGGACAGTGAGACATTGCAGCACAGCAGCATGCAGCAGCCTGCATATAGAAGATAAAGAGATAATAACAGGTACGGCGAAATAAAAACCGGACACGGTGCCACAAGCTGTGCGATGCTGGGAGATGCCGGATGTGTACCTGTTTTCCTTTTTGACCAATGTCCTTCACCCCATGAACTTAGCATGTTGCCACATTGGTTGTGTGCATGCATCCATGAATTCAGAGTGCTCATTCAAAGTCTAGGTGTTTGCCTTAGAAACATGACGATCCAGAATTCCTAGTAGGTATGATGAAAATGCACACGGATACTAAAGCTGCAAGAATTTGTTTGCTTGCTCTACAAGCCTTCCTCGGTGGTGATCAGCCATTTGCCTAGAAACTGATCTCTCGGACTTGGCCATCCAGCTCGGAGCGCGCTGCCAAACGTCCTTGCTCCTCCATGTTGCTCAAGCAGTTGCAGGGTTCTTACCAAAAGCTCTAGACAAGCCCTTGGAGAATACCACTTCCGCATGTTGCTTTAAAAATGCTTCATGTAGGGGCTATGAGCTGTTAGTATTGACAGACATCCTGATTGGCCTTTGAAGCAGGCTACTAATTAAAGGTCTTGCGTGACTCATTCTGTTCAGTCCGAGCACCGGACTGTGCTAGCAGCCATTATCTTCTCTTGCTTCTACACTTTGCTCCCAGCTGCGTACAGAAGTCCTCTTGAGTAGCTTGGCAGGTCAGCCACGGCGTGGCCAAGCCTGGGTTTGAGCAAACTTTTGCCGTTGGCACAGCTGAGGCATCTCTCAGGATATTCAAGATCGCGGAATCCCTCAAGTAGGATCCCAGCACATCATCAAGAAAATTCAGAGGGTCTTCTGCGACCTGGGCATTCTAACTCCTTTTAGAGGCCATGAAAGCTTTACCGTGCAGGCCAAGCCCGGCCTGCTGTGCCAGCGCAATCGTAGAAAACCTCAGTAGGTGCAGAGCCAATTAGATTACTTGAGATGCCTCAGCTGATTTGCACTGACAATTCTTGGCCCCCAGCGGCTTCTGGCCGTGAAGACAGCCACACGGGGAAGCCCACACCGGCGCCTGAGTCTTACTCGTCGTTCATCATTGATAGAAGAGTATAATTATTGGAAACATTCCAACATGGCCTTGATCTCTTCTGCCAACGTGGAGCGTGGCCAACTGCGGGCTGAAGCACCCCAAGCTCCGTCACGAAGGTGGCCATTTGCCTCAGCCGCACTTCTCCGCTCGTTTGCTCTTTACGAAATGGGGCTGCCTAGGCTTGCGGCTGCGAATGGCATTGCCGTGTCGGACTTGCCTGGAAAGTGGAAACCGCTGGAGACTGCGGCCTCTCTCTGTTTGACCCCCAAACATAAACAATACTCATGCCACATCCAGGGGTGTTTCTCTGCTTTTGAGTCCAAGCACGTGCAAGTACCTTACAGGGACCAATGTAAAACAAACCCATCGTTTTGGGGTGCTCCCGCTGTGCTCAGCACCCCGCTGAAAAGAAAATTAGCCTCCTTCGTCTCCTGATTCGTACTGCATACCCATACCAGAAGCGGTGGGTGTTGATTTGAGTTCAGGAGTTTCCTGCACGTCTCTTGCGCGCTGAATCAAGCAGCCAAGCATTTCCGAGGTGCATTTTAGGAAGGGGCCTCTTAGCTTAATCGAATTAATTAAGAAGGAAACCGTGGGGCGTGCTTTCTTGGCAGTGGCTGTATGCGGCAATGGAATCGCAATAGCTTTTGGCATGTGAGGGGCGGCACCGTAGGCATTTGGCGGCATGGTAAACATGGACCCTCCTTGAGAAAAGAAACTCAGAAACTCGGGGTGCCCTAGCTTACGCTAGACCTGAAGCGAAAGTTCAGAAACTTGGGGAACCCTTGTGGGGAAATGCGTTTCTCGAAGGGCACATCCTTCACGCACAAGGCACGGTCCATGCGCACATTTCAGCTCTGCAAGCCGAGTCAGGTTCCGGAGGCTGTTTTTCCTCTTGTACCCAGCGCGGCTGCGGTTGGATGTACCGGAGTCTGCCAGAATACGCCATCAGCAGCACACCTCTGCAGCGCCCAAAACATGCCACGTGGCCGCCGGAAGCGGTCCCAGCCCACCCTCCTTTACGGCCGGTTACGGTGGCCACCAGGACATCCACAAAAACCCCCTTCCGTCGGGTCTGGCCCGGGAAACGAAGCCGAATTTGACCACATTATGGAGCTCCCCCTCCCCCCGCATGGGCTCGTGGTTGTTCTGTCTGTTCATGCAGCAACAATCAAGTGGTCCGGGAGTTGGCAAACTGTTGGTTCACTCAGTTGGCGAAGCTCGTGACAGGCATCCTGGGTTCTTGAGCCCTGCAAGATGCCATGCCTCTGCAGGCAGCTGGTGCTCGAATGAGCAGATCGTGTTGGAAAGCCTCCGAGGCCCCACATGGTCCACAGCACTTGAGACGCTCATGCGCCCCTGGCCTCCTGGCAACCATTGTACCTCTATTCCACACTGCAGAATTTAGTCTTCTATTGCAGGACATTAATTGCAAGACGAGTTGCAATCCAAGATACTGCGATGGCTCATCTGCCTGGCGGCTTAGCAGTCTGGATCACAAGACTCTCATGCAGTTTGAAGAAAAAGCCCCGTCTTCGACTCTGCCAAAGACACCCCCGAATGCCCACCTGTTTGCTTTGGGTTGTCTAGGGTAGGTTTGGCGGCCCTATTACAAATCCAAGGTTTTCTGGCTTTATGGTGATGATTTGGGAATCAGGGCAACAAAAGTCTACAAAGAAGTTGGCCGCATCTCAGGGGGAAGACTAGATAAGAAGCTGCAAAGACCATAGCAGTGCACTGGAGCAGCAAACTAAGAGACAGAAGTCAAGCAGATGGTCGTGCAACGTCGCGCAAGCTGAATTCCTTTTTGGCAATCTTGGCTGCAAGCCAAAAGGGAAACAGGTCGTTTCAGCGAATAAGTACCGAGGTGGTTGTGCTTCGACCGCTGCAATTTCCAAAACTCCTGTCATATGTACTTCTTGCTTCACGGCAAACATGGCAAGGGGCAATCCTGAGATTGAAGCCGGGGCAGCTATGATGGTAGCACTCATCCAGCAAAACAATACCATACAATACAACACAATTCTTGCGCTGAAAGCCAACGCAAAAAGACGTGTCACTCCAGAGATCAAAGCAAGCAAGGCAGCTCACCAGTTAATCACTAATATGGCGTGTTGCAAAGTTGTACACAAGGAAGGGCGCGTGTTCATGATCGTTTGGGGAGATGTTTCGTGGCAGAGCAGGGAACTCAGACTGATTCCAACTCACGCGGCTGTCCGCCTAAAAAAAATATGCGGAGCTGCCAGTATTCTAGTGACAGACTTGCCAAGAGCAGGCACAAAAACCAGCCTAAGCCCGAAGCTCTTGGGTGTGGCTCCTGGAATCCGGGTAGCCTAAAAGCAGCAGAGTGCCGGCGCAGGAACAGCATACTGCGCTAAATCAAATTAGTCTTGACGGCTGTTGGGAAAAGATCGGGCTCTCGTGAAAACATCAGGATGAGAACGTCTCAAGATTCCCACAAGCACGTCATTTCACAGCGCTGCGTGTTGAAGAGAGATTGTTTTCCAGTGCTACTGCCATGAATTGCCATGACAACAGAGAAATCAGCCCTGCAATGGCTGCTTCGTTGCGGCGAGAGTGGCCAGTATCTAAGTGCAAGAGATCAACCGCAGCATTCTTCTCTGCTGAAGACAGCTGGCTGAGGTTTGGATGTCCCGCTCGCCAACGCGTAGAAACATGCTATATTGATTGACTGGTGAGCTGTCTTGCTCGCTTTGATTTCTGGAGTGGCGCGTCTTTTTGCGTTGGCTCTCAGCGCAAGAATTATGTTGTGTTGTATGGTATTGTGTTGTGTTGCTGCACGAGTCATAGCTGCCCCGGCTTTAATTTCGGGATTGCCCCCGGCCATGTTTGCCATGAAACAAGAAGCGCATTGCTGCAATTACTTGTTTTGTCAGCTTTCGTGAGCCACCAGGTATTGAGTCTTCCCAGCGAAATGGACCTTACACTCAGTACCTGTAGTGTCCTGAACATTTGCTGTGGGCCGCAAAAGCCCGGCCCTCAGTGGACCTTCCCGCCCCCTACTGCAAGCTTGGTTTGTAAGAAACTCAGATAAAATCAAACAGCGTCCGCAGGCTAGCTCGTGATGTATTCGCGGCGGGTAGAACAGATTCCAGAAGTACACACGGGCATTCTGACTCTCATGTCGAACATGATCTGGCTTTTGCCAGGCAAGACCTTGTGATTCAGCCTTTTACGGAATGTGCAAAGACGGCCTGCAGCTCATCAGACCTTCGTCAGGCAGTGTCAATTATGGGTGCGCTTGTTGTTGAGGCACTGCTGAGCCCTGAGCAGCAAATACTCAGGTGTACTTGGCATGTCGGCGTCAAAGCCATCAATCCTTACAGGGACAATTCGTGCATTAAACCCTCTCAACTGTGATGGGCAATGAGGCCGATTCTGCATGCGTAGGTGGAACTTGAAGCGCTCAAGATTGCGTGCAGACTGTACAGGCACCAAGAGTCACAGAACGACAGTACCGGATAAAGTCTCTGTTGGCCTCTTTGTGCAGAAGGCGGAGGGCTTTGGAATAGTCAGCCGACTCCGCGTTTGCAGCTGCTTGCAAGAGAGATGCAACCTGCCGTGCATGGCAAGGCGAGGTGATCACCGTGGCATGTAAGGCAGAAGCACCAGTTGATCACCGTAGAGTAAGGTCAGAAGCAGCCGCATAAACAGAAAATCGTCGGCCCAGCTACAGTGGGCAGTAATGCATTTTCATGAGCAAAAGCTGATGCTGACTGACAGCAAGATCTTTGCCAGGTAACGTTGCAGGTCGCAGAGCTAATGAACATTTAAATCTTGAAGCACTAGAGCTTCCGGAGGCACGATAACAAGTTGGAAAACAAGCCTCCCTGCTTAGGCTTCCTCCCCCCAGGTGAGAGAAGAAACTGCTTTGTACAGCATGTTCACTGAGCTCTTGTGAGACTGGAAGATGGAAGCTTCCGCAGCCTCCAGACGTGACATCCACATGGCAAGCTCAGCATGCTCAACTCATCTCAGCAAGCTGCCTGGCAAAGTTTCTCCTTTGACTATTGCTTGACCGCCTCGCGCATGTCCACCGCGGCTGGTGCTTTGGCACCCAACTGGCATTGCGGGTGATCTCGAGCGGAAACTTCTTCAACAATGCGGCCCTGGCCCAGGCCTGGAGCTTGCAGTAATTGTAGACCGTCGAGGGAATGCCTGACAAGGCAACCCTCTGAGAGACTTCATTTTGTCGCTTTGGTTCGCTTGGGACTGCACCTCTCTGACTGTATGCCAGGAAGGCCATGCTGCCTCCACCTAGCTCAGCTCTGGACGTGAGGTAACTGCACTTTGTATGGTGAAGTGAAGTACGACTGCAGCTGTACGCACCAAGAGCGCCTGCAAAGCCAACACTGCATCCAGCCTCGCAAGATGACGCTCCCAGTCGCGTAACTTTGCTTGTGTTGCGTGCCATGAGAGGGATCTGAGTGTCATGCGGCTCCACCAACCAACAGGCCAGTCGAGCCACCAACTGCTGCACCTTCCCGCATGCTGGCGGAAGCCCCCGCTAGCATACAAGCCGAAAGAGCGCACCGATGGGAATGGAGAGGCCAAACGTGAAAACAGCCGGCACCAAACCCACCAAGGCACCTACCTCAAGCGCGGAGTGCTAGCGCAGTGCAGCGGCTAGCAAAGGCGTGTAAAGGCTGTGGCAATCTATTTATGAACATGCTCAGATCACTGCTGTGCCCCCAAGACAGGCCTCAGCTCACGAGATGCCCTTGCGTCCAAGGCCAGCTTCCCCTCCCAAGACCCCAGCGCCAGTTGCTGCTCCGGCAGTGCCCACTGCAGCAGCTCCAAAGCCAGCGCCGGCGGTCGACACCTGAACAAGTACATACAAGTACCACAATGAAAAACAAATAGTCTATAGCCTTCTGCAGCAAGGCTGCCTGCACGTGACGGTTGGCAGCGGCGCTCTTAACGAAGTCTGCAGTGGCCCTAGCCTCAGGGAGGATATGGTCGAGGTTGACCTGTCAGCTGGGGATCCGGCCTTTTCTTGCGTGTAAACCGTAGAGTGATGGACCCCGTCCCGGACTTTGCGGTTTGCTGCCTGCATGGAGCATCAGCCATTAAACTGTATGACATAAGTAGGGTGACATAAGTGACCGCAACACCCCTTCAGCCTTCATGGCATTTGTAGGTCGCACGACCTTGCAGACGACAACAGCAACCCTAGACCTCAAAACTATGTGCCCAAGCGGATCAAAACGAGATAGCCGATGGAAGCTTTTGCAGCAGGCTGCATTCAGAACACCCCATCAGTTTGGCAGCTGGCATGCGCTGCCAATGACATTGGCCAAGCGCAGAAAGAAAGCAGACAGCAAGTCAGTCAAGGCCGAGCAAACACAGTAACGGCGTCAGCAGGGTGATTGGCATCAGAACGCGAGCGTAAACGTGGCGCCAAACAACTATGATAAAATTCCGGGAACAGGCCGACTGCGGCTTGTGCTGAGGAACTGGCCGTGATGTGGTAAACATCATACACTTTGGCGCTGACGAAGACAATTGCAAGCCTGATCCTCAGACCATCCCACCAGCAGCCAATGCCAAGCACGAAACTCGGGAAGCTCTCTCAGGCAGCGACTCAGATCGGAAATAGGCTAAAAATGTACCTGTTGATGCGTGTCTTCAACACATGAATATTCTATTCGGCTCTACCTTCTGGCAACTTAGTCGGTTGTCTCTCCGTGGATGTTCACCAGATTCCCTAATCACGAACAGGCATGCCTTGGCTTTGCTACAATTGTCTGGGGAGCAGACCGCTTGTTGCCCCACCGACCTTGCATAGCATCAGCTGCATGTCGGCCGTGCATTCCAGACTCAACTGCACAAGGAGCATTAGAAACTAACGACCCCCGGCCAAATGGCATCTTTCTTGCCAACATCTTGGGAAACAGTGCCCCTAACATGTTTGTAGCCCGATGGGACACCTAGTGAAGCTTTAAGAGCACAAGTTTGTTTGACACAGCGAGGCGCTTGAATAGTCTATCGGCCAACTCAGCTTGCTGCAAAGCCAGCAGAGCTGCCCGTCAAGGCCTCAGGAGCTCTTTCACATGAGCGCTCACATGTACTTTGCCAAGATCCAATGCAACGCAAAATTTGGGTCCCATACCCCAGCAAGAAGACCGCCAGATCCACCAAGCCTTTCCAAGCGGTCCAAGAAAACCTTTATACTATACGCACATGAAATGCCTCTATCAGCCTCTATCTATGTACCTGCTATGCTGGCTCCGAGCTGCCAGCACGGCCCCCAGTGGAAGTGAGAGCCCAAAGGTGAAGAGGGCCGGAACCTCGCAAAGCGCGTGGCTCCATCAAGGTCAGTCTCAGGATGAGGATCTAAATCGAAAATGATGCTGAACACCTCCAGTGCTGCGATATGCTGCGATGATCAATGGTGCTCTACTACAGAAGGTATGCGAGTGTGATACACCACCCCGTCCTCTCCAAACAAAATGGTTTGGACTTGCCACTGCATATGATTTATATGGATTCTCTTGAGGGCAACCGCCTAACAATTTCAGCGAATTGCTGACCTGGCCCTTCCTTCACTTAATCGTAAAGTGTAATTCCTGTGCCTTTGCATCAAAGCATCCAATGCAGGCACAGTTTAACCCTCAGCTTCAATTGGACCCTGCTGCCATTCATGCAGCTGCGCCAAGCAGGTGTCGCAGCATGGGTTAAGCTCATGGGCAACTGGCTACATTACCCAAAACTGTGTTGGGCGTCTGGATCTTTTTCGTCCCGTCAGATCTCGCGATTTGCATCCATGGCAAGATTCAGAACAGATTTCTCCGCAGCCTCACAGTGGGGCTGTTAGATTTTAAGGAGTCGATGTTCTCTTCGCCATGGGTGCAATGCGTATAACCGCACAGAATCCCTACAGTGTCCAACCGCAGAGCATCCCTGCAGTGCCCAACCGCAGAGGGATTATCCCTGCAATGCCTAACAGCAGGGTATGCCTCCAGTGGCCGCAGAGTATCCCTGCAATGCCCAAATTGTCCAACCACAAAGTATCCCGAAGTACCCCTGCAATCCAAAACATAGCCCACGAAACCTCTTTAAAAGACCCTATGTAAACTTGAAAGGGACTCTATGAAGGCCTCATAACTTCTCCAACGGACCCTATGACGCCCTTGTAGACCCTTTAAAGCAAGCATATAAGCCTTACCCCTTGAAAGGACCTTATAGTCCTTTTTAAGGGACCCACTGTACACGTAGGCCTTACAGCAACTCTAAAGCACTCTATTAGCCACATAGTCTATGTGGCCCTTCTAACCCCTTTCAGAGGGATCCTGTTTAGGCCTTATAGCCCCTCTGAAAGTACCCTATGCGACCCTTATAACGCTTGTAAACAGGGCCTTGAATAGGCCTAATAGCTCCCTTAAAGTGACCCTATATAACCCTGGTAAACCCTTTAAGCGGCCCCAAGCGTAACCATACTTTAGGGTGGGGATCCTCAAAGGAGATGATTCAACCATATGCCAGATATTTTGACTGTCCTGCATGTCTTGTCATAGCTGCTTCTCGAGCAGTCTCAGGATGTGGCAGCCCCGACACATAGGCCCACAGCAGCGCCCACAGTGGCTCCAATGACCTTGGCACTCACTGCTGCTTGGGAAGCAACGGACTTTGCGGTATGCAGGTCCGAGGCCCTGCACATTGCACTATTAAACTGACTCTTTCTTTCTCCTGCTGCTTGACACAGGCTGAGCACGGCGCAGCTCCCACGGAGCCCAAACAGAGCGCACCTGTCTGCGCGGCGTTGAATGCAAGACTTGCAAACATGCAAGCATTGACTGTTCTGCTTGCAGGCATGTGCACATGTATGTACATAATATAATATACATATATATGGCATGGACCTTTGTGTTCTATTTGGCGAAGGGTCTTCTTCTTTCATAGTAGCCATTTAAAATACGTTTATGTGCAACCAAAAAAACTCACGGTCAGCACACGGACCGTAGCTAACTTCCCGACACACCGTCGAGCCAAAACATTTCGAGGAAATGCATCGTGAATGCATGCAAGTAGATCAAGCGTGCAGGTCCAAAAACAAGCAGAACAAGCAGAAATCTTTTGCGAACCCACTGCACAAGCTGCGATCTCTCACTCCGGAACTGACGTCGCCACTACCTGGCGTATATATTTATAACATATTTTTTTCGGTTCTACGTTTGTGCCTCCACCTTGCCATCTCGTACCTGGACACGCCATTCCTGGATCACATGTTTCCATAAATTCACATTATATTTAATTCTGAGAAACGCGCGTTCTCGTGAAGCTCGCGTGCATTCAGCTGCTTGCAGAGCCTGACAAATTCAAATAAAACTATTTCTTTCTGAGTACTTGTTGCTAAAGCAGCGCCTCCGAGTTTCGATAACAGCGTCCTCAGTGCAAAAAAATCAAGACACTTGTTTGGGTTTTCAGCTGAGGATTTTGCCGCCTGCTTGAACACGGATAGCTTCTTATCCTGCAAGGTGGATAAAAAGATAACAGTTTCTTTTAGGAGCCACTGTGACTATGTTTACGTCCTTGCACATCTGCAAGACGTGCCGAACCTCAAGCCAGTTTCAAGTTTCGCGTAAATGATTTTTCCATGTGCTAGGGTGCCGGCGGCCTTTTCCGTAGCAACCTGCCAACAGAAAAAAACATGTGTCTTAGAATTTAAAGCAAAAAAGGCCTTCCACAGGGGGTACTCTGGCTGGCATGGTGTTTTGCGCCCAGACCTCAAA